GAGAGAGAGAGAGAGAGAGAGAGAGAGAGAGAGAGAGAGAGAAAGGGAGAACAGAAAAGGATAGATGATAAAGATGATAGAAAATAGGTAAATATAGATAATATATAAATAATAGGTAGATAGATTGACAGATGATAGATGATTGATAGAAGATAGATTGATAGGCAGACTGATAGAGATGATAGACAGATAATAGGTAGATGATAGATGACTGATAGACACATAGATGATAGACAGATAGATGACAGACAGACATGATAGATGATAGATAGACAGGTGATAGACAGACAGTCGGTCAGACAGACAGACAGATGGTAGAGAGTTGGGTGAGAGCTAGCTAATGGAGATGCAGGAGAGCCCTCATTTATTTCAGATGTATCTAGCGTGGTGTTTCCACTGCAGATCTCTATGAAGACTCCTCTGTTTTCTTGGAGACTAAGCAGGCTCCACCTGGGGTACTCCAGGCACACCTCCATCTGGGAGCCAGGGATCTGCCTCTGGCCTTGCAAAGCCTTGTTGGGCTGATGGGTTTGTGACCTAAATTAAATAACTTTTCTTTCCAACTCACTGCCATGTCCATGGGAGTTGAGACTCTGCACCACTGTGAACAAAATATTGGGGGGGGTGACCTTGGCAATGCACAGGGGCCCAAATGGCGCTGACACCGAATGCCCACCCCACACCACGTGCCGGGCTGCAGTGATGCAGTGCCAGGAGCTGTCGTGTGTCACAGATTTGTACCTCCGGTCCTTCCCACCTGAGAGGCAATGGGGAAACTTGGTGCAACTCAAGGGAAGCTGGGAGAATTCCTTTCAGATTAAAAATGTTGCTGCAGCCCACAGTTTTTGAAGGGACTGATTCATCTTCTCCTTCTTGCAATAATGGGAAAAAAGAATATTATTATTTTTTGACAAATGACAAATGAAGATGCAGAAAATTATGTATATTTAGGGAATCCATGATACGACAGTAAGGACAGGTCATAAAAATCAGTTCTACAGCTACATCTTAAGTTAATATTTTCCACCAAAGGTGATTTGTTGATCCCTCCGACCTCTGAAAAATATTAACATTGTTTTACAAAGCAACCGCTGATATTTAAGGAGTTGTCACTTTCTGTTTACTTCATATAATCCTGCGTCCTGCCTGTGAAGTCTGCACTGTCACAGGACAGCAACTCCTTCCGCCAGCCTGGTCAGGCACCGGGACGGTGGACAGCGGAGGAAGGAGGGCTTAGTGCTGAGGAAGGCGGACAGCCCGTCAGATACAGCAGCGGAGGGGGGCACACCAAGAAGAGCTTGAGATGACCTCATCAGGCCTTGGCAGCCAGGACAGGCCAGCTCTGTGCACACAGACTCAGCAGCAGCAAAGGGCGGCCAGAGAAGTTAGGGAGAGCCACAGCTGGGTTCTCAGCGCCAAAGCCTCTTCCAGCTTCAGAGTCCTCCAGTGTTCCCTCCCAGTGTCCCCAGGGGTGACGACGGCTCACGTGCAGTGTGACCCTGACCAGTGCCTCTTTCTCCCTTACTGTGAGCAGAGCTTGGGGCCTACCAGCAGCATTGGCTGTTGGTACCATAGAGGCCCTCAGCATTGTAGGTGGGGAGGCCAAAGGGCCCCGGAGTTAGATTTCCTGCATGTATGGCAAGAAGGGAAAACATACATACACATACACACAATATTCACATACATCCACACACCTGCACATACTTCACACATGTGCAACACGCCTGCATACATACACACATGCACAACATGCATTTGCACATGCATACACTATGCACAGGTACGGGACATATGCACACATGCACGCACACACACATGTGCACATATGCACTTCCAGTCTTTCTCAGAGGAGGCCCTGCATCTGCTGTAAAATGAAAACACACTATACTAACATACACACGACACACATACACACACTACATACACCACACATACACACTTATGTACACACACATAGACACTCATACACACTACACATAGACATACACACATTACACATATCCTCTACGTATACACACACTACACATATATCATACATACACACACTACACATATGCACTCACATAAACACACGCCACACACATTTGTATGCACATGCATCTGTATTTCCAGTCCTTTCTCTTTCAGAGAAAGTCCTGCATCCACTGTAAAGTGGAAACACTACACTCACACACACAACACACACTACACATAACACAGGTACATGCTCAGGCACAGGTACACACACTATTCACATTACACATATACATGCACATACACTATACATACACACTCACACAGGCAGGCACACACACACACACGCACGCACGCACACACATGCACACACACACACGCACACACACACTCACACAGGCAGGCACACACACACACACACGCACGCACACACATGCAGACACACACACGCACACACACACTCACACAGGCAGGCACACACACACACACGCACACACACATGGGATAACAGAGTATAAGGGCTCTAGTGGGAGGAGGGAGGCTATGGGATGGTGCCATCTGGGAAGTGAGCGTATAGTTGAATAAGACACTCACACAGGCAGGCACACACACACACACACGCACACACACACTCACACAGGCACACACACACACGCACACACACACACACGCACACACACACTCACACAGGCAGGCACACACACACACACACACATGCACACACACACACACACACGCACACACACACTCACACAGCCTGCATGGTCCCTTGTGACTAGCACCATCTACTACTCCAACTCTTTCTTTCCCTCCCTGGTTTGTCCTCACCATCTCCACCCTTTCCATGTGTGAGCCTGGGAGGAAGGAGCTCTGTCTGCTCTGTTCCAGACGCTCTCTCAAGGGCCTGACACCAAGTAGGCGTTCAGCTAGAGGCTGCTGGCTGTGAAGGACTCTGTCAGGCATGCCTAGCCAGGAGGCACTGAGATAGCCCTCTGTGGTAAATGATTCTTCTTTGCCGGGTAAACCTTGTTCTCACCATTGCTGCCACCATCAGGGAGTCTCAACAGGTCTCTAAGGGAACGTGGGTAGAAGGCATGAGGGAAAGCTGTGTGGCCAGTGGGTGACTGAAGATGGACGATGTAAAGATAGAGATGCAGTCATAGTAATCGGGCTCCAGGAAGCATTGCTGCTAACGAGGGTGGGCCTCAGGAAACAGGTAGAGAAAAGGACTCAGGCATCTGGCCACTTGTGGCCTACTTCAGGGAAGGAGGGACAAATACCATCACAGTGCTTCCTGGTCAGCCTGGTCAGATATGCAGGCCGGACTTGTTACAGAAACAGCCCCAGCTGTGTGATACGAGCTATGGAGAACATATTCAAAACACATTTGAAAAAAGGACCATTCCACCCAGTATGGTGTACAACTCAGGTCGGCAAGCATGGAGAGCCTGGACTCTGCTGAGAAAGGCCCACGCCAGTCTCCAGAGCTAGGACGGCCCCAAACACCCCAAGGGGCCTCTGCACAGCTCTGTCCTGAGAGAGTGGTCCATCTATAAAGTACCATTGCTATTTCTACATGGCCATGCAACCTTTCCCTTGACCTCTGTTCATCATCTCATAGATGACTGAAGGCTTGTGTCTGGACTGGGCAGGCTCCATCTGACACTTGTATTTAGGATTCCACTGCCTAAACTGGAAAAAAAAAAAAAAAAAAAAAAAGCTCAGCCACCTACTTCCCAATGGCGGCTTTTGTCACCCTGAGTGAGCAGTATTTTACAGGAACACTCCAGCTCAGGACTGCACAGATGTTATTTGCATCTGCCTGGAGCTCTGGAATGCATTCATTTCCTCCTCTACATGAACCCTGAAATTCTGAAGCT